TCTTTCTGCTGGCCTCTTCTGAGCTAGAGCTGAAAGACATCAGGTCATAAATCTTAGGATTTAACAAGGGAAGATACTGCTTTGAGATATCATAGCCAGAAAAAGGACAWCTGGGTTCAATATCAATTGAAAATTGAGTGAAACAGCAGGAACTCGCTTTCCATCGGCTGTCATCTTCCACTTCTCTGTTTCTTGAGAATTGTTACTTTTTCACCAAACCAATGAACTGACCAGTGCATTACAATGACAAATTGGCAGAAAAAGTTGCACTCAAACACCCACCCCTCCCACCACCCCCAGTTTACATCAGCTTGGTAGGGGTGGGGCTGCAGCTTTGGGGCTGTTTGAGGTGCTTGGGGGGCTGTGCCTGCTCTGGAGTCATTCTCAGTGTCTAAAACTGAGAGAGCTCATCCTGGAGATGTGTTTCAAGAGAAAACAACTGTCAAACAACTTGCAATTAATTTTTAAATTCATCCATTTCAGTGGCACAGAGGCACTGAAGGACAGGGCTTGTTTGGGCTGTGATTGATTGATTGATTGATTGATTGATTGATTGATTGATTGATTGGGGATGTTTGCAGTGCCCTCCTGCAAGGCCCTGCCTGGAGGGTTCATCTTCTCTGCAGCTTCCCCTGCTCAGCCCCGAGAGAGCTCCTGCTCCCTTTGAGGGGGCTCCGTCAGGATCCGAGAGCACTGCATTTAAACATGGAAACTGTGCATTTGTTCAATCTACAAAGTCACCCCCCGAAAATGTGCTTTAGTCCATATTAGGGCTGGAGCATCGCATTTCTCCTGATGAAGCAAATGGTTGGGAAGGTTGGTTTCAAATAGCACTGCAATGAACTTGTAAAGCAAACCGCTGAACTTCCTGGGTGGTTCCTCAGACAAAGCTGGTTGTTTGTGCTTGCTCCTTTCTTAATTAAACTCTCCCACAGGGAAAYTCTTGTTTTAATTWTTTTTTTTYCAAAATTGAACGGCCYTTCTTTGTTTACTAAATCCATGAAGACAGATGCTTTAAGAACAGATACTGTGAGACCTGCAGTTCACATTGTTGATTCTGACTTTTTAAAAATGTGTCTTTATTCAATTCCCTTGTCTGCAGGGGTTCTGGGGACTGTGAGGTGCTTCAGGTGGAAAAGCAGCTGAGAGTACCATGGGCACTCACTCCAGAGGTGGCATATTCCCTGAAGCTGCAGCCCCTGACATTCACTCACGTTTGCCTTCAGACCACTGCCATCCATCTTCCATCCTCCTTCCCTTCGGAAGCAGGAAGGATTTGTGCAGCCACGTGTAGCACCCCAAAAGGAAATTCAGATTTTATCAGGACTTTTACTGCAGAAAGGAGAAAAACACCCCTGCAGGACCAATAGCTTTAGGCTAGGAATAAATTGTAGCTGCTTTATGGAGCTTAAGATCCACTAGAATGGTACTTGTGCAATTCCCGTGAATTTCCAGCCCCAGAGCCTCTCCGAGCTGGGGCTGTGGCTCTGTCCCCCCGCTGCTGCCCAGAGAGGAAGGGGAGCTGGTTTTGGGTAGGTTGTTGCAGGGTTCTCTGTGTTATTACAGCCCGTTTGTCCTCTCTGGTTTGCTGGGGCTGGATCCTGTTCCCTGCACAACTCACGCAGACAATGTTCAGAAGTGCTCATTAAAATTTATGGGGAGTAGTGCTGTCCCATGTGAAGAAGTTTAATCCGAGACAGCCTTCAAGAAAGGCTTATTGCAACCTTCTGCATCACCCACAAGCACTTYGGGGAAAAATAAGGAAGGAGAACAGAGTGTTAGATAAGCTGCTTTAAAATGATCTTCATAATCCTCCAAATTAAAATGTAGTTTATTAAAGACGAGTTACAAATGCAAAACAACCCAGAAAAGGCTGGAAGTGCCCCTTGCCAAAGACAATTTCTGCTGTTCCCGTGCTGTTCCTGGATGTCACAGAGATCAAAGCTGTCCTTTGCAGGGAGCCAGCCCCATGAGATGCTCAGCCTTTCCCCATTCCTTGTCCCCGGGGAAGCTGGGCTTCCTCACTCTAGAAGTATCATTAAATATTTTCATGAAATTCAATTTGACACCCTCCTTGCCATGTCCCTTCACAGCCTTTGGTGTGAGGTTTYCTGGCCCCAAAGCAGCTCCAGTTTTTACTGTTGGGATGGCACAAAGGAAGGGACAAAGAGGAGAGTGTTTACTCAAGGCTTCGAGCAGTTGAGACCAGAGAAGGGCCAAGAAGGGCTGCTTTTGTGAAACTTTTCTCAAGGCCTGCCCATTTTCTGTTTGTTTCTCATAAAAAGCTTAACCTGYTGGATTCTCCCATCAGCCTGATTCTCACCTCCATGTACACTTCTCATGAAAGCTTCTGCCCCAATGGCACCAGCCTCTGTCAGCGGTGACAGTGACAAGGCCAACAATCTTGGTAGGAATCACTAAAGGGCATCTCCTCCAATTTAAAGTACTTTTAGCTGCTTGTTCATCCTCCACCCCATGGTGCCTTTGGCAGCTTGTTTTAAGCCTTCTCAGTATAAATTTCCCTCAGTCTGAAAGGGAGTATTATGGTACTTTCTTCCCAGGAACCATGTGAGATTGCTCTCTGACTGCATCTCCACTTTTAGGATCCACATATGCAAGAGCWGAGCAATTCTTGTTCTCATTATCCTCAGGAAACTCTCTGCGCTTCAAGATATTCAAGTGATGGCATTTTTCCAGCATTAGACCATGAGGCAGATTTTGTCTGTGGCTGAGTTCAGTGTTTGCTTTGCCTCTAAGGCTGAGCCCTCAGCCTGTGTTTGTTAAAGAGGAGCTTCATTGCCTCCAGGGGCTGGACCTGGCTTTCCCCTAAGCCTGCCCGAGCCAGGAGGGGATGGTGTGAGCGACTGCAGGGCCATCTGCAATGGCCAGGGGCTACAAAGGGACTGGAGAGGGGCTGGAGAGAGGCTGGAGAGGGGCTACAAAGGGGCTCCAGGGCCATCTGCAATGTTCTGCCTGGCASTGAAATCCAAATGTGTCTGTGCCACTGACTGCAAGCCCAGGAGAACATCTCTTTGCCATACTCTGCATATTTTCTCTAAAGTATTTAGGGTTTAAGGTGTTTCCTTGTCAATAATGCTGAAATACCTGGAGAGAAGCAGGGTTTGCACAAACTGCATCCAAACATTTGGCTGGCTCCATAGGCTGGGGAGATAACAAACCATAAATTAAGTTTTCAAAGCTCAGAATACAAGAATATCTATAAAAATGTGTATCCAAACCAAGGATGGGTGAAATAACCTTGGGGAAGAGTCAGCAGGATGYCATTTCTGCATATTCAGGCCTGCACTGCCCCTTGCTGACAAATTCTTCATGTGGGACRAAAAGTGCTGCAGGGAACAGATGTGGTGGGGGTGGAAAGGTCCCTTCTCCTGCCCAGACTGGTGGCTCACCCAGGCACAGTCAGCTGCAGGGGCTGCCCTGGAGGGCTCCCTCTCCCAGCTCTTTCCAGTACCATTTTCAGCGCCATCCCTAAGTGGGGAAGGAGGAGCTCCCAGCCCCTCCTGCTCCTCAGCCTCCTGGCAGARCACTGAGCCGTGCAGGAAGGTACAAATGCCCTGCTGGTGAAGCCAGGGTGCCTCTCTCGCGGTGATTTAACCACGATGAATCTGATGCATTATCCTACCCGTCATTTTCCGGCATCAGAGGGGAGATAATGTGCCCGGGAGCTCTGTGCTGACCAACTCCTGCTCTGGAGCACATGCCAGCTGCAAGTTTCAAAGCACTTTGTAATCATTAAAAGAATCMGCTTCCTAGCCCTGATGAGGGGTTTTGTCTCTGTTGTAAAAGGAGTAAAGTGGGGTCTGGAGGTGAAATGATGAGAAACAACAGAACTGAAGTGCTCTGAATATTGACTTTATATCTATCCTGTATTAGAAGAATTCATTGGGTAGGAGGCACTTAAGCTGGTCAATAGGTCTTATTCCCAATTCTTCCTTCCATCCCCTTTCTGGATTTTCTTGCTTTTCTATATCTTCATTTTCTCATCTCCAAAAGGAAGGTAGTGACCAACTTCTTGTGAGAAATTCCTAAATATACAGCTGATATACATTTGTGTGAAGTACTAGGCAAAAGCACCAATGGGATCTCAAAAGGCAACCTCTAAAGAAGATGTAGGCATTCAGACACAAAATTTAACAGTCCAACACTGACGTTGGTAACACTGGGCATCAGGAGTCAGGCATGGGCAAGAGAAGCATGGATAATGGGGGAAAGCAACGCTGGGAATTTTTTCCTGGTTAACTGCATAAGATCAGACACCTGGCTCCTATTTCAGAGCCGTTGTAGTAGAACTGTCACTATGGTCCCAAAGCCAGTCAAACAAGGCAATGGAGAAGAGGCACTGCTGGGTAGGTCTGGTACCCAGCCCAGACAGGTGAACTGTGTTTAGTGGTGCCAATGGAGCTCCGGGCTGATGCCCAGGGCCACCTTCCCTGGTGGCAGCCAACGAGGGAGGCAGGAAGGACAGCGTGGCAGAGGAATACTTTGACTGCTGTGCTGTTGTCAGGAAAATCACCATTTTCTCCATCTCTGCGGTGTTCTCAGGTTTGTAAATGCTACTTTACATTGTATTTAGAGTTCTAATCAGCAGCAGAGATCCACTTCTATTCCTCATATCTATTTCTGTAATTATCGTTGCGGGCTCGTTCCTTCCAGGGGCAGCGGGGTGGGGGCGAGGGCCCGGTTCGCCCTCACCCCGGGGTGATGAGCAGCGTCCCCGAGCTGCGCTGCTCCCGGCTCGGCTCGGCTCGGAATGGCCCGGGAGGCGGCGGGGCCCTGCCCGGCGCTCTCTGTCCCCGCTGTCGTGTGGCACACACCGCCACCGCCGCTCTCAGGGCTGCTGGCCCCGGAATAGCCCCCGGCTCGGGGAGGGGGCTGGCGGCGCTGGAGCCGAGCGGAGCGGAAAGGAGCGGAGCGGAGCGGAACGGAGCGGAGCGGAGCGGAGCGCTGCAATGCTGGATCCCAGCTCACGGTGGAGCTGCCCGGCCCCAGCCCCGACCCTTCCGCCCGCCCCGCGCCGGGACAGCCGCGCACGGCCCCGCCGGAGCCTCGGGCTGCACTTGTTGATCCGCGATCCCCGGCGGCGGCGGAGGGAGGAAACCGAAGCTTTCCTTTGTGTGATCCCGGAGACGGGGCTGGGAGGCGGGCGCAGCCGCGGCGCTGGCTGTGGGTAGGAGCGGGGAGCCGCAGCCGAGGGAAGGCCTGGGAAATCTTCCTGCCGAAGGATCCGATTTACCTCGTTTCCCTTCCCCTCCCCCTGGGCTCCGCGGACAGCCGGCAGCGCCGTCGCCATCCCTGCGCCCTGAGGCTGCCCGGGGGGGATGCGAGCGGGGCCGCCCCTGCCGCCCGCCCCGCCGCAGGATGTAGCCGCCCTCGGCCCCGCACGCCCCGCACACCCCGCACCGCCTCGCCGGGAGCCCGCGGCAGGAGGTAGGTGAGGGCTGGGCTCGGCCGAGCTCCGGGAGCGGCGGCGGGCTGCGATTTTGGGGCTGGGGGAGCCTGCGTGGAGGGGAAGGGTCCGAGCTGTGCCGGCTGTGCGCGGGGAACCGCTCCTGAATGCGCCGGGGTTTCTCTTCGTGCCATCTTGTGTAAGCAACAGTGCTCGGGGCTGTCAGGAGCCACCTGCCTCCCGAAGGCAAGCTCGGGATTTTTGGTTTTTTATTCCCGTTTTCGTTGCTTTCCCGGTTATGCAGAGGCCGGCGTGGGGGGCTCGGGGGGCCCTGGGCAGCCCAGAGAGGCAGAGCGCATCGTTAGAGTGGCTGTAACCCCCACCTTTTCCCTGCCCCAGCTCTTTCCTCGGGAAATCTCTAAGGCTGGAGTTATTAAAAGCCTCCGCATCTCCCCGCAGCCTCCACGGCTGGGCTGGCGGGGGCAGCGCTCCGGTTGGGGCGTGGGGACCCGCGGGGTCCGGCGGGGCCGGGAGCTCCGGGATGGGAGCGCGGAGCCAGCGCGTCCCTGGCGG